CGGCCCCCTCGGATGCCCCGCGGGCACCGGTGGGGACTCCGACTCCCAGTTAGCGTTGATTGAGGGGACATTTCGCTTGAGTGTGTATTTAAAAATACAGGGAGCCTGGGTAGATATGGGGCGCACAGGGAGCCGGCAGCTTCCTAAGGGGTTTAAACGTGACGCTCCCCATGTGGCTTCGGGGTGTCTGCCAGGAGGTGAAACCGTATTGCACTGCGGAGCTGGCATGAAGAGATGTATAGATAGCGAGCCTTTTATCTCAGGCGAAAACCTTGCACAAGGCTTGTGTTAGGGTTGACCAGTTGTTTTCTTGACCTTAAATGGTTAGTGCAGTTCGAGCGTCCCCCAAATGTACTGTGAGCTGAACTTCCACTTTTGGAATCATTGCAGAATTCGGCACTTATTCAGCAATGAGAAACTTAATTCTTCCCGTAATGGAAGAAAGACATCCACCTTAATGGCCTTTCTCACCTTTCTCTCCTTCTGACTATGTGGGACTCCATATCACAATGTTTGAAAGACTCTGCTTTCTAGAGAGAGCACAATTTGAAATTCAGTATTTGCTAGGGGAGATTAAACAGGAATTACTAGGACTGAGGAAAGTCTGGTTTGTTTACCTTTTGGTATCTGGAATTCTGTTTATCAGACCTACAACATCCATTGTATAATTGGTGTAGAGTATATGCATGGAATGCATGAGGATCTTGGTATATTTAGCATTATGTATACACATTTGTGGTGCTAGATGATAAATGATATAAAAAGGTTAAAAGTCATAAACGAATAAGATGATATGATAGCACACGTATGTGTTAGCACCAGCGTGAGAGGGCAGCTCTGCCGCTCTGGAAGATGGGATGGGCCTTTCTCAGAAGTGGGAAATCACTTAGAGCCATCACATGCCGATTAATGAATGCATTAACTTGATCCTTGTGGTCATTGGTGCTGCGCTTACTGTATGACTTTGAGCAACTTACTAGTTCAGACCCTCTGCCTACCCATCTCAGAAATAAGAATAGTGGTATGTACCTTGCCTAGTTGCTATGAAGAGTCAAAATAATGTTAGTAAGTTACCTAGTGCTATTAGGTGAATACCAAATGTGAGCCATTGTTATCTCCTGGCTTTAGCAAAGTAAGCAAAATAATATCTCAACTAATCGGACCCGTGGAGGTACATATCAGAGTCTTGGAGAGGGAGGGGGGAGGTAGAAGCCCCTTGCCAATTTGTAATAAGGTCCCCTCCACACCCACCCCATGCTGTTCCTGTTGTGTGTGGGGATGGGGAGGAGGCCATTGAGAAGCACTGGGACAGAAATCAAGTTCATGGGGAATGTACTAGGGGAAGGAGAGGAACTCAGATATAGGAAACTCCAGAGGCAAAAGACCAAAGCCTACAATTTGATGTTTGAGACTCAAGCAAACTTAATTTTTGTTTTAGTGTTACATGATTACCATTTGTTTAGCAAAATATGACATACCTGTTAACTTGTGAATTTGAAGATTTTACAAATAATAGTTAATATTTGTTAAGCACTTTCAATGTGCTGGGCTGTATGGGCATGTGAACATTTTCATCCTCATGACAACCCCGAGATAGGTATATTTATTACCTCCAAATTTATGGGTGAAGAGACCCAGGCTTAGAAATATTACATTGGTCAATCAGGGTCAGATACCTAACAGGCAGTTGAGCAGGGGTTCAAATCCAGAAGCATCTGACTTTCAAGATCGTGTGCTGCATGGGGCTCTCTGTGCAGGAAAAGACAGAGTTTCTTGCTTTTAAGTAAAGATTTCTTTATAAAAATTGCCTGGGTGTGGAGAAGGGGGGCTTTCATGGAGGTTTTCCCCATGTAAATATCAGCCATCTAACTTACAGAACTCAACCAGAATTTGACAATGTAAATTATGAAAACCTTATGACTTTTTCAAAACTTTACAGGATATTTTAGAATTCACCCTGAGAGATTTACACAAGGTGCTCCTAAAAGTACATTTCAATATTAGTCACATTTAGCTACTTTTTACAGCCTAACTACTTTTTATAGCCTGAAGACCCTGGGTGCACATTGCAAAACACATGCAAAGGTTCTGAGTGTAGAAAATAAGCAACAAATTAAGATCACAAGGGAACTTTGGCAGTCAAACAAACCCAAAATAAACAGCACTGCTATAACTACTGCGTATTTTTTAAAATATATTTTTATTGATTTTTAGAGAGGGAGGGAGGGAGAGGAGGGAGAGGGAGAAGCATTGATGTGAGGGAGAAACATCGATCTGTTGCCTCTGGTACCAGTGACCTTTTGGTGCACTGGAGGACACTCGGACAACTGAGCCACACCAGCCAGGGTTATAACTACTGCATATTGAATGCCTTCTCTGTACGTGACATTTTACACAGGTTCCCGTCTGACCTCCACCATAACCTTGCTCAATACCGTATATGTCTGTTAAGTGGCAGTAGCAGATTCAAGTATAAGTCTGACTCCAAGTTGACTCCAAAGTCTGTGTCCTTTCTACATAAGTTGCTTTTGGAGACACTAATATTATTTTTAATGTCACCCTTTGGAAGTGATCCTACAGGAAACACCTAAGAGTAAATAGGTTAACCCCCAAGAATTAAGAAATGATATTTTATGAACAAAAGAGTAAAAATTTAATATGTAAATAGACACAATTGAGGCATCAGACACTTACTACTAGAAAAGTTCTGTTTCATTAGTATAGGAAGTCTTTATTAGCACTGAGTGATTAGCACTGGTAAAGCCTTAAAGTAAAGCCACTTAA